GTCTAGTGGGTTACGAGTTGGGCCGCTAATTTCAAGGTCAGTCCGAAACCACAGCCACTATGCGGGACAAAGATGAGGCTTTCTACTCCCAAAAAGAATTAGTGTTGGTTGATGTGATTGAACTATGGAATGTTATGATATCTGTAAGAGCTCCCAATAAAAGGATTTAAAAAAACAAACCAAAAAGAAGTAGTCTCAGAAACCCAGAAGAGCAGTTCTACTCTGTCCCATAGGCTTGCTACACGTCAGAATCCACCTGATGGCGAGGAGTTGAGCTTGGGCTAGTTCTCTTAATGAATCAAACAGATGTTTCTGCTAACTGCTAGAATAGCAATCGTCTGTGCTAAGACATCCCACAATGTCCCTGAAATATCCCAACTTTAGATGGGGGGAGGGAGGGGATAAAGGGGGTGGGCAGGGGACAGGTGGGAAAAAGATGCGGCCTATTAAAAACTCTTCACACTATAGCTGCAAATCCTGGTAACACTCTGCCTGCAACTGATTATTTTTCACTATTTAGTCAACATCCATAGACGCTAGGAACGATGATCAGAATAAACACAAGGCTGATTCAGGGGAAGCTTTTCTAAATTCTGGCGCAACTGGACAAAGCCAGAATAACAATGTGCCTATATGATGGGGGGATTCAAAAAGTTGGTGGGAAAATTCCAGTCTTTCCATTCCATTTGTTCCACCAGCTTTTTGAAGCCCCCTGATAGTCAGAATTCCCCCCTCCCCAACCTTTTTAAAGATGATTTTGAAACACAAACATTTAACTAAGATAATGTCCCGATCCACTCACAATGCTTGCTATGAGACTGAGGTATCTTGAACAGAAACCATCTATTAGGGATTGAATTTTGACTCCAAAAATATGTTTTGGAATCCTGGCCGCTACACCTGTGGATGTGATCTCATTTCAGAACAGGACTGCGTTACCAGTACAGCCTGATTAGTGTAGTGTATGTTACACCTAATCACTTCGGAGGTATAAAAAAGATCAGACTACACACAACAAAAGCACTAATGGCTCCTAAAAATCCCCAAGGAACCAAGGCATACCAGAACTCCAGAGGCTGAAACAGGTCTTTCCTGAGAGTCCCCTAGAGCCAGTGCGCCCTGAATTCTCACTTCCAGCCTCTTGAACTATGAGAAAATACACTTGTTTCTTAAAGCCACCCACTTACGGTACTTGTTACCACAGCACTAGATAATTAAACAAACAAAATAAACCCTCTGCCATGCCAAGTGGAGCTCTGGTGGCGTAGTGCTTACAGGGGTAGGGGGTGAGGGCCTGCAATCTGCATCATCAGCAGTTCAAAACCACCACGGGCTCCTCAGGAGAAAGACTGGGCTTCCTACCCCTGTACCCAGTCACAGTCTCAGAAACCCACACGGGGTCCCGCTGAGTCAGCACTGACTCTATGGCCAAGCTTGCCTTTGATTTGGCCATTCCAACGGCCAGCAGCCCTTGAGGACAGAGTAGAGCCCATAGGGCTTCTGATGGTAAATCTTGGAGAAGCAGACAGCCTCAGCTTTCTCCCTTGGATCAGCTGGTGGGTTTGAACTGCTGACCTTGTCGTTAGCAGCACAATGCCTTACCCCTTGGTGCCACCAGGGCTCCTTAGATAACTAAGTCTCCATCTAACAAGATTTTTAAAGGCCTAAGAGAAAAAATGAGGCAGGATACCTTTGACAGTTTCTCCTGATTGCTCTCAAAAGCTATAACCACACACTTTAATTATTCACTGCGTTCATCCAACAAATATTTTTGAGCACCCACACACCTGGTGCCTGTTCACCTACAACAATGAACAAAACAAACAAAAAGTCCCTGTCCTCGTGACATTTGCATTCTGCTGGAAGACAAAATAAAATGAGTGTAACATGCTGGATGATCGTTATCAGCTGAAGACTAGAAGGGGCCTGGATGAAAGGATGGAGGATGATTGAGGAGCAATAGGGACATGGAGTATGGGAGCAGGGGAGTGTGCCTCTGGGAGAGTAGAGGTCATCTCAAGGTCCTGGGCTTCTTGTAGACACTGATGTAAACACAAAAAATCAAGGGGATAATGCGATTGACTAAAGGTATCAAAACAAACCACTGTCCTTGGTGGTTACACTGTGAACACTGAAGAAAAGGAAGGGGTGAAGGGCATTTCCAGGGTCACACACAGTTCTCCACTCTGTGGTGCAGATATTATCCAGAATATGAAAGCGTTCCTCTTCATTCCTGCCTCTGGAGGGTTAGAGGCCTGGAGCTGGGGAGCCCTACCCAGGCTTGATCACAGAGAAAGGCAAGTTTCTAGCACACTGTAGTTTTCGGCCCACAGTCAACCTCACCTTTCTGAGAAGTATCATGACACATATCATGGAAACAAAATGAGAGGAGGAAACAAGAAAGAAATATAGACAGTAATAGTGGCAGTAAGCATGAAAGACCTCAGTAGAAAGAAAACAATCTGTACCTTTGCAAAAGGAGCTTTTAGTTCACCACTTTGCAGTTTAAAGCAATTTGGGTGGACTCACCCAAGTGAAAAGAACTGTTATGTCAAAAATGCTTCTACTTCTCCGTTTTCTTCAAAGTTCTTCCTTTACGCACAATAGAAGGTGGAAAGAGTTCATGTCATGTTCCAGGAGAGAAAGTAAAGGGTGTGGGGGAGTGAAATGAACTCAAAAGCTCTTAAATCAACTACGGAGTAGCTGGTGGGTTTGAACCACTAACTTTGCAGTTAGCAGCCCAATGTCTAACCTGAATTTGTTAGTGCTATCATAAAGGGCCACAGTGACAGATGATCAAGGAAGAGAGGTTCTAATGCCTAACCTGGCACAAGACGCTGACTAAAGTACCTGGTCCCCAATCACGTGTGTGCACGTGTGGCGAGAATCCAGAATATCCAATGTCTGACATCCACAGAGAATCCAGTCAGACTTTAAATAAGTAAGTTCAATTTCAGGGATAGTCCCTGATACAGAGCAAAATGAAGAGAGCTTCTAAAACCACAACTGATAGAGCTTTTCCATGATCTTTCTGATGGCTGCAAGTTTGGGTGTTTGGATTTTACTCACTAAAATACTTCAATTAGTACACCTGTTTCAAAATTTCAAAACCACATAAAGAAACCCATTTGTATTTGGTGGTTTCACAGTTAAAGAATGCTACCTTTTTTTTCCAGTTTAAAACAGTACAGTTCTATCTTTTAACATTCTAAGTATCCATCTGCTAATAGAAGACTTCCATCCAATTACATTTCTACAAGAGAATCGCTCTCCCAGGCATTGCACTGCAACTGAAAATGTCAATTTCATTAAAGGACATTTAAAATTTTTGAATGTCATTGGCTCTTTTCCTAATGTCATTGGTTTTAAGCAATCTATCTTAATTAAACAAAAATCAAATCAAGACAGAAAATACATCTTCCATAAAACCATTACTAATTACTGTTTACCTACCAGTGGAGGATCTTAAAAAGTTGGGAAAACTTATTCCAATTAGCTAAATGAAGTTGTGTTACTTTTCAACCTGCACCAAATTTATTCATCATCCTCAGGTAGCTAGCTGTTCCAAACATTTCTTAGAAAAAGGAACTTGATACATGCAGAACAGAGAGGATGCGATAGGTACTAGTTTCAACTCAGATTATATTGCATATTGACATGAAATTTTACATCTGAGTGGATAAAACTAAAATTAGCTACAGGTGTCACTATGGGAAAACAATCAGAAGCATTTTACTACACTGCAGCTCTTGGCTTGCAACAACACTTGATTCTTTTTTTAATTATCTTAAATTTTTGCAGTGAATACAAGGGGAGCGGCTTCAAAAGGGGCCTGGAAAAGGAATCAAAGCCACTTTGTATATTAAGGAACTTCATGTCCTATCTACATTAGCTTAGAAGTATGTACTTAATTCTTAACCGCTGCTGTAGACAGCGGCCTTCTACTGTATACAAGCAGTCTATTTCCAATGAAAATTCAAACCACCCCTCCTGTTTTAATCTCACCTCAGGCCATTCTCGTTGCTCTAAGATGACTCTATGAGAAGTCTGTCAATTAATGAGTGTGTTGCTCAGTTAGCGGCTGAGAAGCAACTATGTTATTGGTTGGGTTAAGGCATCCCATAATTGTAGCACTTAATACCTGTTGTTCTTAATGCCACCAGGCCTACTCAGCCTAATGAGAGCTCCAGGAGCCATTAATAGAGGTCTAAGGAGGTGAGCAGGCAACAGGGAATCTCTGGGGAAATTGTACTAGTCTCCCATATATAAAGAATGGGTGTTAATTTTTAACTCTTTACCACCAAGAAATGCACTGAACACAGAGCATCACAAAGCATCTAATTAAGGCGTCACTGTAAAACCGGAATATCCTTTCCGGTTTTAGAAGGCCACCTGTCAGGACACCTGTTCTAGACAGTGCTGGCTCTCCTGACACCTGAGACAGCTTTCAGCCCTGTCCATCCAGGAAAACTCCAGGGTGCAAGGAGTCTATTCCCAGAGGGCTTGCTGGATGTCACCCACCACCACCACCAGACCTATCAAAGCTGCAGCTCAAAATGAGCCACCGTGTGAACTAGGACAAAAGGCCATATGCCTCTAGCGACACTAGGTACAAGATCAGGTGCCTGGGGGCCACTCAAGCTGAAACACACGCCAAATGATGAAGCTGCCTGCCTAAAGCCAGCGAGGCAATCGGCTCCACGGTCAACCCACCCAAGGATCAATCCCAGAGTCCAGGACCGGGGACCCCTCTAACAGCATCCTCAACCCAACCCCTCTCCCCTGCAAGCCTGGGATCCCACCTGCTTGGCCCCCAGAATCGTAACCCTGTACCTCATACAAGCCCCCAGGAACCCTGCTGACACTGGTCTTTCAAGCTCCCACGACCCACAACAAAGTTCCCCGACTCCTTCCTGGGCTTTTCCTTCAGAACTTCACTCGCGCGGCCCCCCTCGGGCCTCCTCGGCGGGGACGCTCCCCTCCCCTCCCCTCTCACTCACAGGCTGGAGGTGTGTGCGGGCAGCGGGCCCCACAGTGCCCTCCAGCTCGACGCGGGCACTTTCCTGCGGCTGCAGTCCAGCAGAGGCGGGTGGCAGGAGCAGGGCACCGGGCACAGGCCTGCCTGGGCGGGCGGCAGCAGGAGCAGGACGGCCTGAGCGAGGAAGAGGAGCCAGGGAAGCGGTCCGGACCGATGCCCCAGCAGCGGCTCTTGCCGAATGCCTTGGGGCGCCGGCGCCATTTTCCACCCCCAGACGCGGACTCGGTCCGAGAAGAGCCGCCAGCTAGAAGAGGCAGCTCGGCAGAGGCGTTTGGCGCCCGGCGCGACCACTAGAAGCCCCCGCTGTCCCTTGTCCCCGCTGAAGGTAAAGGAGGGACAGATGCAAGCAGTGTCCAGGGAGAGGCGACTGAGAGGCCCTACGGACACCGCTCACCGATCCGCCCCACGACGCAACGTCCTCACGCACAGGAGCCAGCCAATCCAGGCTACAGCCTGAGACTGCGTCGGGGCGGGGCTCGATGAGGGGCTGGGAGGGCGGGGGTGGATGAGGGGCTGGGAGGGCGGGGCTCGATGAGGGGCTGGGAGGGCGGGGCTCGATGAGGGGCTGGGAGGGCAGAAGAGCTACTTGGGAGGTGTGTGGCACTTTCAGGGGCTCTTCTAGACCTCCGTCACCGTCCGTCCGCTGGAGGGCGCAGGCTCCTTTAAGGGGAGCGCTTGGGGTGGGAGTTGCGACTGTGGGTCTATAGACTACAATGGTAGGAGAGGATCTTTTGTCGTTTCTGGACCCCAACAAAGAAGAATTACCGAAGGGCCGCCTTTCAAGGCACGGACTTGAATCTGGAGCCTCCTGTGCTTCCTGCCATCCGGCATTAGCCAGGTCAGCCTCCAGCCCGGAGCTAGGGAGCCGCGTCTGCCCCCTGCCGGTCGTCTGCTGTTCATGCAGCCCTGCAAGGGGCGACAACGCCCACTCTCCCAACGCCAGCACGTAATCCCTATCTGTGGGTGGGCTGAAAACTCCTGAAGACGGGGGTCCTGATTATTCTTAATCTATGCACCCACCCCCACCGATATTATAGCTTGGAATTCAATAATGTGGGCAAGAATACCTTTCTTTTGGAGGATGCTGTCCTGAATAAACTCTCTTATCGTAGAAGAGCATGAGAGAGAACGCTGATTTTAAAGGGTATTCATTAAGCAGTCAGCAAAATGAAGCCTGGTGCGATATTTTCAAAAATTTACTCTGGAGCCGAGATTCTGGAAAATTGGGTATTAGCAGTGAAGTTTGCCCACCATTTACTCACTTAGCCATGGATTATATCCCAAGTGATGAATAAGACTTTTAAGAATAATAATGTTGGTTGTGCAAATGGTTGACATGCTGGGCTGCTAACCAAAAGGTTGGAGGTTTGAATCCATCCAAAAACACCTCGGAAGAAAGGTCTGGTGTTCTCTACTACACAGATTATACTTGCTGCCATCGACTCAATTCTGACTCACAGTGGCTGCCCCTTTGGGTTTTAACTCTTCACCAGAGTAGAAAGCCTCACCTTTCTCCCGCTGGTGTCCTACTTAAGAAAAATCAGCTATTGGAAACCTTGTGGAGCACACCATGCGTCCACCAGCAGGCAATATGGTTTACACCTTTCAAAGAGGATTTACACCTATTGCCTTGCTTGGTCCCACAATGGCTACAAAATGGGCAGATCAGTTACTGCTGATGAGGAAATGTGCCTAGAGAGGTTAAATCACGTCATGCTGAAGTAGAGGCCAGGCTGTCATTTGCTTGTGGGTTTTCTGACTCTTGGATTAAAAACCTGAGTTCAAAAGACAACTGATCCCTGTGTCATGAGTTGTCCTAGGAAATCAAACTTTCTTGTGGCAGGTTGAAAGCCACAATTATGCCTTTAACAACATAATTTTGGAAAGAATACCCTCTTCCTTTTTCACCGTGACACCTAAATTAGATCAATCTATAGTACCTTATGTAGTACCCATATTATACTGAAATGATTCTTGGAATGTGGGTTCCATGCAAGACTAATCCAAACCAAACGTTTAAAGCCAAGATGGCAGAGTACATTTTACCCTTAGCCTCCTTCCCCTGACTGTTGAACAGGCTTCACGACCTCCGGTCAGAAACTGGGCATAGGCAGTGACCCTACATAGAAAGGGGGCATCTTAATACCTCTCTGGATTATGGCTTTAAAGCTCCCTGTGAAGCTATGCCAAGTGAACCCATTAAAAATGCATGTTCTCTACCTTGTGTTTTCCCCAATAAATAGTATAGATCAGTCCAGCTCAAGGCCAGCTCAGCTTTTAATTCCATCTGCACGTTATTTCTACCACTCTGATACACTTATGTACACCAATACCTTTGTGCTCCCTAGATTGGCTAGTACAGTACCGGGCACGTAGTAGATACTCAATAAATCATGAGTGAGAGGTTATCTTACTCCCTAAGTGATAAAATTACCCAAATATTTTTCTTTTAAACCTTCTTATCTTATGAACAATGTTAATATACACTGAAGAGATAATAATATAATAAGCCCCCATATATCCAACTAGATTTCTCAAGTATGTATTTTATTTTATTATTATTTTTAATCATTTTATTGGGGGCTCATACAACTCTTATCACAATCCATGCATACATACATTTTGTCAAGCACTTTGTACCTTTGTTGCCATCATCATT